GGATAGGCACCAAGTTTGCATACCCCTCAGTGGCCCTCAGTGGCTGTTGACGTAGAGACAATGTTAGCGTATCACACAGACTACAACACTGCAGGCATAGGCACCAAGTTTGCATACCTCTCAGTGGCCGTTGACATACAAAATTGGCGCTAATTAGTACCTGAAACCTTTTTCATATTGGATTTTACTACAAGTAGTTTTTATGTAAAATTTTAAGTACACAACAGCCCAAGTAAAGGACATGGAAACAATTACGTTAGATGCACAAGCGTGCACTCAAGTACATCCAACACTGATTTCAAAAAATAGATGACTAAAGTAATTCAAGATTGGAATAAATGTAAAACGTTTCAGGTGCATGAAACATAAATAATTTGCTTTGCAAAATTAAAAGAAATACCATAGAATTCCAGACTCCTAAGATTCACCACACATTGTCATAAGAAACGCTAAACGGTAACTGTGTGCATGGCACTCACAAACCACTATACACATTGCAAACAGGAAGCTGCATGTAAAGGCGTAGGTCAAGCTATGCGCCAGTAACAGACGGCGACGCATCCAGCGTGGCAGCTGCGCGGCGTCGCCGCGCCCGCGCTGCCACACGTAGAACGGCAAGCGCCACACGATACCATGGACACAGCACATTCCATAGGTAGCCACCATAAGGCAAGCGCACGTGGCCAAAACAACGGCACAGGGCGTGCCATGCTCGCACAGCGAGCTGTCGCGCCGCATCAGCGCCAGCGAGACGCTGCGCCACGTCACGTACTCGAAGCGTCAACAGGAGCAGCACCCGAGATCTCAAAAGCATCGTCGGGGTTGTAGTCATCGTGATCTGCGTGAAAAACAAGTTGTTAATTATCAAGACAACATACAGCGTTGCCTATTCTCTCATCCATCACGCATACGAGGCCCTCAAACAGAAATACGCTCTCATACCGCAGACTATAATAAAGAACTTCGCTTTCACAAGTATGCATACATCTCCATACGAAGTATCTCTTACATACTCATACTTGAACTTGCAAGTTCCCACGTTAAAGACGTGAACCAGGACAGCGCCTGCCAGGACAGCGCCTGATGCATGTTCAAAAAACATGACTTCCGCGCACACAGCGCATCGCACACAGCGACCCAGGACAGCGCCTGCCAGGACAGCGCCTGATGCATGTTCAAAAAAACACGACTTCCGCGCACACAGCGCTCGCGCACACGGCGCCACGCTCACAGCGCCTCAGGTCAGCGCCTGATGCATGTTCACAGAACACGACTTCAGCGCACACAGCGCCCCAGGACAGCGTCTGCCAGGACAGTGCCTGATGCATGTTCAAAAAAACACGACTTCCGCGCACACTGCGCTCGCGCACACGGCGCCACGCTCACAGCGCCTCAGGTCAGCGCCTGATGCATGTTCACAGAACACGACTTCAGCGCACACATCGCCCCAGGACAGCGCCTGCCAGGACAGCACGATGTACAGCATACACGCGCTCCGCGATTGCGCCCGCCATGCGTACAGCAAACGCGCGCTCTGGGATGGCACCTGCCACGCGTGCAGCACACGCATCCGTCGAAACCAGGCCATGTTACAGCTGGACCCAGCAGTCCAGCTCCAACGAGCAAGGCACACACGCCTCACACTCGCGCACACGTGCTACTGTAACACACAAAAGAAAGCGTATTAAAAAGATTCAGTCTGAACACACTTTCAACAAAAATGCAGCACAACTCTCGGGAAGCCATTCGCCTTTCCACGGAACCATATACTGAGCTGCGGCATGAGTAGTCTTGCCTCTAGCTTCAGATAATAACTTCAACTTGTACCGATTACTTGGTAACATTTTGGTAAATCGGTATGGACCCTTTTGTGTCCCCTGTCGATTCAAAAGGTTGCTCAGGAAAACGCACTTTATTTTCCAACAAAATAGCTGATTCAATGCTTGACTTGCCTTTACATAAATTTAAAATACAGAAATTATTAAATAAATGTTACTCATCCCAGGATCAAGTTTCTCAAGCGCTCGGCGGCGCCCGGCCGTCCGGCCTCAAGAACCGCCAAGAAACAGCAACTTATAGCGGCGTAGCTTCAACCTTACCAAGGCTCGGCCACGCACCTGACCATGTCCAATTAGCCGTCGACTATTTGGAGTAAACTGTAACACTTATCGACACATTAGAATACAAACAGGCTATTTCTTTTTAAATTCATAGCACGTTAAAGTTAATCCTTTGTTTGATATATCGCTTAAACATTTCAAACTTTAAAATTATTGGGCTACATTATTTCGTAGGCTACGTATTTTCATATCACTTCACAAAACATCAAAACTCGACAGTCAACAATTACTATAAAACTCGAAGTTGTCACTGGATGCAAACTACCAAATTTAGTTAAAACCTCTTTTCAACATTTCTTTCAACATTTGTTAACATATTTGGATATGTTAAGAAATAACAAAAGTACTTGCGGGTACCTCTAATATAAATCGACAAGTCGAACAAAGAGTTTTAACTTATTGCTCAAAACATTTGACTTTAAGCTTTTACTTTACGCTTTACTGGTACGTCCATATCGTAAATAGGACATCAAATTTAATTACTCTCAAGTCTTTCAAGAACGTATTAAAAATTAAACAAAAGGATCTAACTTTTGGCTTAAAACATTTCACTTGTATACTCTCACTCTACACTTTAATGATTCGTCCATGTCGTAAATATGACAACAAACTTGGTTTAAGAAATTGAACATAAAAACAAGACGCGAGGCGCGTCACATTCTTTCACCAACGTAATAACCCTCAAAATATTCAAAGTTTATACGTGGACAGTTACAGGGACTTTATCCCACTTCTGATATTAGAAACTATTACACTTCTGATGTTAAAAATTATTCTCAAAAGTATTTACATAAAATAATGTTACTCGTATTAGAATTTACTCTGAAGGTTGATTGTTAAAAATAATAAAAGTGTGAGAGCGGATGTTCAACTTGCTCTCTTGCTTACGCAATTGATCATTATCAGGAATAAGACAGCGTACAAGCTCTACACATTCAGTATAGAGCAAATACAGTTCAACCAACCGTAATATGTACCAGACACAATCACACATTAGTGTAACGTGAAGGACATAATTACATGATAACACCAAAGTATGTAAAGCAACAGCTACACTAATCCTCTTGATGTAACACCGGGCAGCCTCTCAGCAACACGATCTTCCTTGCTTACACTAGAAGAACTACTACACCGTATCTCCGTGTGGAGGTAATGTTTTAGCCCAACGGGCATAATAACGATATGTGACTAGTCGAGTTACAGACTGACTGATCCCTCTTAGTCGACTGCGTGATACTTTATACTGCTAAAACAAGTGGGAGATTATAGTTCTACCTTCAACATTTCTTATTTTATTTTATTATTTTACCCTCATTCCTAACAATATACTAACTTTGGCCTCTGAGTATATTTACGAAAAATTAATGTATGTTTACTAAAACAAAGACAGTTTTAGTAAAATAAGTGATATACATTCTGTAAATATTAGGAAAAAACACGAGCTAGTGATACCAGGCCCTCGACTCCACAGAGTCAGTAATTCATTTTTGGGGCAATGTATACGCTATTACAACAAAGTCGCTAAAAAATATAGAAGGTATCTTTATTATCAAGTTTAAACATTTAATTAAACAAAAACTGTATAAAAAGAGTTATTATAATATACATGAATACATGGTTGATAATAACCCCTGGGAATGAGGTGGTCGCTTCCAAGCTGTTTCTTAATTAAATTTTGTAAATAGTTCGTAATCATTTATATCGTAAAATTTATTTAAAAAAATGTCCCGCTGGGTTTCTTGCTGGTTTTTCCCAGGACAGATGATTTTTTTCGAACCAGTAGTAAAGTAAAAAATGACTTTCATTACAAGAATTACTTTCTAGCAATATTGAATAAAAATCGTTCTATTCTATTCTACTCAGAATAGAATAGAATAGAAAGCCCACACAGAAATTCAGCAGTTTCCATTTGCCTAATCGGCATCTGCCTGTGGTCTTTACTCTGAATATACTGCTGACACGGACATCGTGGTGGGTCTCGCCATCCGTTACACTTTCCTCCTCAAGTTCGAAGTTCTCATTTACAGGAGAACTTCGGATACAAGTTACGAATTTAACAAGTTTAAATGAGTTTTATGAACTAAGACACAGGTTACAATAACTAATAACAGTCGGTGCCACAAAATGGTTCATATACTAACACTTAATCACCACAACTGTCTTTCACTTTCACTTTTTAATTTAAATTTTTCTTAATGTAACTGACAGAAGTTTGAAATCCATAAGGTCTATTCTTCTAGATGCAATGGCACCGGGGCTGTCATCTCAACAGATAAGTTTATTTCTCTGGATATCCTGCTAACACAGACATCTTGGTGGGTCTCGAACCCCGTAACAATCTACAAGGAAACCCTAAGTTCAGCAGTGGACTTTGATAGGCTATAATGATGATGATGATGATGTTTTTGTTGTTGTTCGATTCGTTTACGTCACTGTAGCACATAACGGCGCCACCAATATACCCATGTCCAGTAGTACCACTACTAAAACGCGTATTATTTTTATACAATTGTTTTATAGTAGATATTACTATTTATGTTGTAAGTGTACTTCATATATTTAGATTAGTGGTATGTGATTATTAAGTTAATATGAAAAATTCTTTAAAATGTGGCTTTTTAGTAATTTCTTAAAATTGGACAAAGATTTTGCTGCTTTAATGTTTTTAGGTAATTTGCTGTAGTGTTGAGCTCCCTCTTAAAGGATACTCCTTTTTCCATAGTTTGTTCTATCTATTCTCAAACATAGGTTATTAGCCTGCCTTGTCTTATTAATAGGCGAAAATTCATTCAGTGAACGATTGGCAATAGTGTGTCTATAAAGTATATTTATTTAAGACAAGAAATAAAGATTATCAATGACCATTAAAAAAATTTGACATCAATCATATTTAGTTAATACAGGTAATATGAGCGGGAACAGATATTTGTCCATATTCCGTCCCCATACAAAGTCTAAGTGGTTGAGCTTTTCCCCTGAAAACAGATGGTAGTCAACAACGTTGGGCAACTCGTCCCTTAAAAGTTCCGTATCTCCTGTTGTAGATAAACCGTCGTTGCCGCCCAAGAACACAGCTATCTTCATTCTCACCTTTCGTAAATCATATTTCGGTGGAGAGCGGGCATTGTACAAAGCAAGGTTTTGCTCGGGACCGTAGTCAAATTGAGCAAATTTCCTGCGTAATACAACTTGACCGATATGCACTACGTTCTTACTGGACACGCTGCAAGGATAGTTGACAAAGATTTTTGGTAGAAATTCAGGTTCTAATTCATTCGGATGATTGTCCCCAACTACGAATAATATTCCTTGCGTACAGAGCTCATAGCCTATCCCCTTTTGAGTACATAACATTTGAAATAGAGGTTTTAGCAAAGAGTTATCATTTAACAATTCTTCCACACCAATAGAGCGTAACAAATTGCCAATAATAGATATCATCGTTAAAAAGAAGGATACGAGTGGTTTCAAGTGTTGTAGGAAGCAAATTGGAGCGAGTGCTATCATTACCTTGATCTTGTCATTATACTCGGGCCTTGTTGATCCCAGCACATAAAACATTGTATTGCCTTGGGAGTAACCTATTGCACTCAGCTGCCGCTCATTTGTTCTTTCTAAAATGAAATCAATCGCCGCTGGAAGATCGTAATATCCATTTTCATGGAAACTAAAGTCCCAGAATTTCGAGTCGAGATCAGGATTCAGGTGAACGTGTTTTCTAGAATGTCCGACTCCTCTTGGGTTAAGAGCCCATACATCGTAGCCACTGGTGGCGAGAGTTATTGCTAAGGATTTATTTCCTCTAACTATAAATACTTCAACGTCTTGCATCATCCCAGGTAGGAGAAGAACTGGCCTAGTCCTGTCGCCAGGGATGTGATACATTTTCAAAATATATCCATCTTCTGTGGTTACATCCAGCTCGTCGACGTGGTATCCATACTTTGAGGCTAATGTTGAGAATGTGCGATTTCTGTCACTAATAATCTCAACAGGAATGGAACGGCCTTCAACACTAACGCACAACGTTATGTAAAAATAAATTATAATGATGTTAATTTGATGTATCATTACTTTTTCATTTATTTCTTTAGATTTTCATTAATTTTAATTTTAAAATCGTCCTACTCGTACGTTATTTATCGTGCAAGTGAACGAATTTAATAAATAATTACTTATTTATAGCAATTGCGCTTAGTAAAGATCCTTGAAAAACGAAAAATAATCTTATATACAATGAGCACATCGCATAAATGCAATAAACTTCATCTAATAGACCAATTAATATGTTAATTTTTGAGTAGTCAAATTTTAGACTTAAAAGTTAACTTAAAAGATTTTAAATTAACTTAGGGATGATTATATCAAGATTGTTATCTATAGAGATAACATAATTGGTTTATTGTGATAAAAGTGTGGTGAACAAGCAGCCGTTAAGACCGGTATTAAAAAAAGGAATAACGGTGGTTTTTGTCCCCATGGTCACGGGGTGGACTAAGGTGTTTAACGTCCTAATGTTATAGTTAACCACGGCTACCTCCAGATTAAAAATTATTAATTTTCGTTCCGAACTACGCAGTATGAACTTATTGTATCTTGAAATCTTGCAATTGTATGCTTGGATTCGGATTTAATTTTATTAATTATAAGATCCCAAGCAGATGGTAGCACCCAGCCATCTTCTCTATTGAAATTGGGATGGTTTTTGATTTCAATAGCCTCGCGAATCATCCTTGGAATGAATCGGTGTTCTTTTGCGAGGATTTGTGGTCTATCGAATCTAATGTAGTATGCGATCCTGTGTGCGATAGTGTGCGATCCTGTAAGTGCTCATAGACTGCTATGAACAAGTACTACTATTTTTTCGGCGGGTAGGTGTTTAATAAAATACAGTTACAAAAGTGTTCTCGTAATATTTTATGATTTAAATATAATTTTGAATATAATTTGTAGTATTAGTGCTAATATAATAACTAGTAATTTGTTTTTAATTCAGTGTTTAATAAGTATGACAATTTAAATAGTTAAATACTCACAATTCATCTCCCATCATAACCTCAATTCGTGACAATGTTCATTTGTTTACATAGTAAATAACTATCGTGGTATAAGTTCTTGAATAATGACAAATGTTATGGATGTTGAGAATATGCAGAGAGAGTTGGAAGTTTGTTGGAGTCAGAAAATGGCCGAATTTGAGAAACGCTTGAAGGATGCATCCACTCCAATAATCCCAACACTGGCACAGCTACAGGAAGAATTTTACTCCTTTAAGGAACTTGTTATCAAAATGCTAAATCTTTTACGGCAGCAGGTCCATGAGTGCATGAAGAATGTTGATACTATTAACATGTGGCATCGTCGAAAGGCTATTGTTTTTAATGGCATCCCTGAGGCATCTGTGACTAATATAACAGATGAAATACTACAATTGTTGCACAATAAATTAGGTTTAACGCATATAAGTGCCATTAGTTTGGACAGCTGCTATAGACTTGGTGTGCAGCAAAGTAACCACATTAGGCCTGTTATAGTATATTTTCGTGATCACCATACAAAACGTGAAGTGTGGAAAGTTAAATCAAAATTGAAAGGCTCGCTAATCTCTGTTTCCGAGTTCCTAACTAAAACCAGGCAATCAATACATAAAAGAGGTCGAAAACATTTTGGAATAAAGAATGTGTGGACTTTGGATGGTGTTATTTATGTTAAACATCCTGATGGTTATGATAAGATCATTGCAATGGAGCAGTTAGATGCTTTGACAGCAAAATATCCCACAACAAGCACTCCAACCAGGTCAGACACTGCTTTTAATACCTCGGATATTACAAATAAGTTGATGTCAACACAAGGTTCATCTAGCACTAAACGTGTGCAAGAAACAGTCCGTCGTACTACTACAGCAGTGACCAATAGTGATGATACCAAGAGATCTCGGCGGCCTGTAGTCAAAAAATAGAATTCATGCATCTGTTCCACTACGCTAAAGTGATTGGTGATGTAATCTTTACTTTGCAAATTTTGAACATATTACTGCATTCAATGTAATTTATAATATAGTCATATTTAGTCTTATAACTACTGCTTGTTGTGCTTCAACTTTTATGTAATATTTTTTGTTTCGTTGTTAAAATTCCTTTGAGAGGCACTGTAATTTTAATATTTGTTATTTTATCTGTGTGTTTATGATGCAATCCTGATAAGTATGAAGTGTTTTGGTAATGTTCTGATTATCAGATATATTAGTTACTTAAATTTACATTTTTATTTACTATGATATGATACTGCTCTTGAAATTATCGTTATTGTTTTCTAATACTATAAATACTATTTCAGATGAAATAATTCACTACGTTTATAGTATTCATTGAAATAAAGTTGTTAATTTTTAGTACTTTTTGCAACTTTGCATATATGAAACTCATGCTTTTGTTTTTCTATGTTAATGTAATTGGTGATGCAATCTTCACTAAGCAAATTTTGAACATATTGCATTCCATGTAATTTTTAATATAGTCATATTTAGTGTTATTACTCCTACTTAATGTGCTTCAATTTTTATGTAAAAATTTTGTTTAATTGTTGACGTTCCTTTGAGTAATTTTAATATTAGTTATTTTATCAGTGTGTTTATTGCGTATTCCTGATAAGTATGACGAGATTCGGTAATGTTATGATTATCTGGGTTCTTTAATTATTTAAATCTACTTTTTTGTGAACCTGCTCTTTGAATAATCGCTATTGTTTTATAATACTATAAATACTATTTCAGATAAGATAATACACAACGTTAATAGTATTATTGAAACTATGCTTATAATTTGTTTACTTTAGGGTAAAAAGAAGTTAAAATAGATAAATAAATATGTAGCATTTGGAGATTAATCTATCATTGTCATCTTCCGTCATTACTGTTATTATCTATACTTTTGGTTTATACAAAGGTATTTTTTTTTTTGGAGTTTATGGCCTGGTATCTAGACCTTTAGGCCAAGTCTTAAGTATTTTTATTCGGTTTATTGTAATTTCCCCACTCCTTCATAGTATACTGCTTCACAATATGTTGATGCGTCACATTGTGCAGTTCTTGGGAGATTTTGGCGGCAACTTGATCCAGCAGACAGCTGATAGTTGGCGATGGTATCTAAAGGTGCCTATGCAAACAAACAGCTTATCTTGAGAATCCATCACCATCAGAGCACTTGTTTCACTGTTTCCACTAATAGTTCACATGCGTAGACACTTAATACACAAAATCGCAACACTTTTACATATCAAAGTCCACTTCAAACCATTATTTAAACAATAATACAGGAGCAGCAAACCGCCGCCGGTCAATTTCCCGCCAAAACTCCCCTTATACAAAGGTACTCTGTGATTATACATAGAGACATTATATGCCATAGACATTATATCCCCGTAGAGTTTTTAAACTCTTTGATGGTAAGCCACAGAAGGCACAGATGTCAAAAAGATACGGCCTATTAATGTATATGACAAATATGAACAAATTGTATAAGTTAACATCGCTGTCATTTGCATGCAACATTTTATATTTTACTTATTTAGTGAATAGTTATTATTGTATCTTAGTTTTTTTTTCTTTTGTTTCACATCAAAGTATCACCAGCGTGTTTTGGCGGTTTTCATTTGTAGTATTAATAATTATATAACATATTGGTGAAGTAGTATAGCCCAATATGAGTATGTAACTACTTAATAATTTAAGTATATTCGTTATTGTATAATCCTGTGTAATCATTATGTTATCATTAAGATGTTTAATTTTTCATGTGTGTGTATAACAGTCAGCTGGTGGGATGGTATTTTGTGAGATTCCTAAATAATTTAAAATTTTTAGCTAATAGAATTATAGCAGTCTTCTTTTAAATTGTATGTATATATAATTATATATATTTATAATATTATTTGTAAATTTATTACATATAATAATGTCTGATACCGATTCATTTCATTCGTTTAACAGTTCTGATTCATCATTCTTGTCGTGTAACGATTCTATAAACATTTCTACTACCTTATATACACAGTTAAATGAAACTTTTCAATCTTACAATAAATCCTTCAATATCTGTCATATTAATGCTCAAAGTATTCCGAGTCACTTTTCTGAACTGGAAGCGTCTTTTAACCCGAACTTGACACAAGCTATTCCAATCTCCGAAAGTTGGTTAAAGCCAAGTCTTCACTCTGCTTTGTATCCACTTCCGGGTTTTGTACAAATTAGAAATGACCGTGTTGGTAAAAGGGGAGGCGGTGTTGCCATTTACCTACACTCGTCATTTTCGTATGAAATTATTTTAGCCTCTCCTTCGCTTTATTCAGGCTCTCCGGAGTTCTTATTCTTAAAAGTCAGCGTCAGAGGCGTAAAGGTGATTCTTGGAGTAGTGTATTGTCCTCCTTCCATTGACTATTTCGCCACTTTAGAAATGGCTCTCGAAAAAATTGTCTCTGAGTGTGCACACTGCATAATCATGGGTGATTTTAACACCAACCTCTTGATAAATTCTAACCGTTCCCAAAAACTTCGTACAATCATTGAATCAGTCAATCTTCACATTCTACCTTCAGGGGCAACTCATCATAATTTCGACTCCAATGACTCTTTGATTGACCTTGTTATTACAGCTTCTCCTGATCATGTGATATCACATGGTCAGTGTTCCGCTCCAGGATTCTCGCGTCACGACCTCATTTACGTTGCATACAAGCTAAAATCTCCTAAATCGTTGCCTACTTTTATTCACTTGCGCAACTTTTCTAAAATTAATTTGGATAAACTGAGAAGTGACGCTTCTAATTTAAATTTTGATCAATTAAAATTATCAACCACTGTTGATGATATGTTATCCATCTTTAATAATAAAATAATTAGCCTATATAACGCCCATGCCCCTGTACGTAAAGTTAGACTTAAACATCAACCTTCTCCTTGGATGACTGAGGGAGTTCGGATGGCGATGACAAGGCGGAATAGGGCTTTTCAGCGTTTCAAAAGAGAGCGTACGGAAGAGAATTGGACATGTTTTAAGAAAGCTAGGAACAGA